TTGGGGACAGGGACAGAGATTTATTCTGATCTGAACATGGTTATGATGAGTTCCCAAGTCTGATGCCAGGGAACAAAAGGCTCATTCTTCAGTTCCCAGAATGGGGATTAACAGTGAAGCAGCCTTGCTTGGTTTGTCCTGAAACATCAGATAATTTTTCATTAAGGCTTTTCATGGGATGATATGTTCCCTTGGTACAGGTGCATCTTTTTCAGTGGCGGGTGAGATGCCTACCATTTATATATAATTTTAAAAGTGACCTTTTAAGAATGAAAGGTTAGAGATCCAAATATGACCTTGTTATCACCCTACTGGTCAACCACCAACGCGGTCTTCTAAGTCACAGCTTATCTGCGGAAATCATAGTATCAATAAGTTGTTCTTGTCTGTTTCCACGTGGATTAGAACTGTTCAGATGTAGTCATCGACCAGAACTGATACTTCTTGGATGTATCCCTGTGAATGAATGGGTTTATGAAGTCATTTTTTTTCTTCGATAAATATTTTCATTCTTATTCAGTTCCCTGGGCATTCTCTTACAATAGGATACCATGGATATACTGAAAGAAAAAATTAGAAGGCAAATAGAAAATGACAGAAGAACATAAAAGTACTAGGGGCGCCTGGGTGGCTCAGTGGGTTAAGAATATAAAAGTACTAAATTTGGAATTATATAGACATTTGTTAACAATACTGCACCCAAACAAAAAAAACATTTTTCCCACTTAACCTTTCCAGGGCAGCAAGATAGAGGATTACTGAATAGATCAACAAGAATCTAAAAAAAATTGGAAGCAGCTTATATTTTCTGCTCAGATTAGTTTTTCAAAGGCAACAGAAAAGGCAAGGAAATCCCTTATTGATTATCAATTACAGCCATTTTTAATAGTCAAATTTAAATATAGGTTTTAGCAGCTGGTGGGTTCGGTTTGGTCAAAACACGTGTTGACTTTCTGAATTGTTTGCTCACTGTAGATGCTGACTTGTTCTGGAGAAGGGGCTGCGTGTTGATCTCCTTTGTCTCCAGAAGGATTGATTGACGGATGTTGTGTCTGCTCATTTACAGCGTTTTTCTTGCTTAATTTAAAAAATTGTGACATAGTATTACATGTTCCTTGTATACATCATTTTTGCAGAAGAAAGTTGTTTAGCCAATATGTCGACTTAGTTTATATGAATTCGTCTCTATAGCTTTCATTCAGCCTTCAGTGTGCTCCATTAGGTCATATCATTCGCTTCATGCAAGGCAAATCATCACCAGCAGCAAAATTTAACATTTGGTCCTTTTAGGTATAAAAATGAATCAAATGCCTGACAAGATTGGTTTCTGGTATATATTTCAGAACCCCCCCACCCCCCACCCCTTTATGGGCATACAACAAATGTTACTAACGGGTACTTTTAGTTTCTAAAATATGGACAACAGTACTCCATGCAGTAAAAGACTTGAGCGATTAATGCTACCCTTATGCCTCTTTTGAGTAGTTTTAGCCATGGGGCTTGGCACTGCCACCATTGTCTCTGTGCCAAAAGATATCCGCAGCGGCTGTCGCGTTCTAGTACTGGAGGGTCGTCTCGAAAATTCCGCAGTGAACGCGCCGGGTTTGTTCATCGCTGCTATCTCTTTTAAATATTGGGAAAATAGGGTCTTTCGCTCTTTCAGAGCTCTGTTGTGGTTGTAGGGATGGGGGGAGGTGGGTGTCGAAGAATGGAGAAGAGAGGAAAGAAGCTGTCCGCGCCAGCCAGTTGGTCTAAGTGACAAAAATCCACGCCTGACATAGAGTAAACGCAGACATTGAGGGGCTTTTGTGTTCATGAGCACAGATAGTCACTTAAGAATCCTCCTCAAACACGTTATCAGCGCTCTTGAACATTTTATTATCTGAAACAAATGTTGCAGTGCATTTTAAGCAGAAAATCAACATCAAAACCATAGCTAATTTTTAATGGGCAGTTTACACAAAGACACATACATACATATATAATATATGTTTGTGTGTATGTATTTTAGAAACTGAGATGCCATTGTAAAATGGCTGCTGTCTGTCATTAGCAAATGATGGGAATAGATCTCATATGTGTGAGAAGGTGCTTGGGTTTATCCCCAGTCCCTGATTATTTTGCTCCCAAACAGGGGTTGGGGCTCTGAGGGCAGATTTATAGTTGAATTTGGAAACAAAAAGATGTAATAAAGTTAAAGGCTTACACTATCAGAATGAAATGTGTTCGTTCAGGATCTCTGGAGCGATCTATTTGATGGTAAAAGTGGTTGCTACATATGAAATCTTTACAAGGAGCATAATCCTAAAATAAATAAATAAATAAATAAATAAATTAAAAAAAAAAAAAGTGCACCTCCCAGCCTCCTGCTGGCTGCGCTGCCTCTTTGGTACCTCGCAGACTTCGACAGAGTCCTGGACGGGTGCCCATTGATGTCATGGAAACACTCAAATTACTGAGAATGATTCATGTCTATGCTGGTCTCTTATCCTCCCCCACACAAACAGGAGTAGATTTTTAACCCTGACAACTTGTAATTTGCAGTGGGTTTATTTTTGTATCTGGATAAATATTTTTTAACAAGCAAAATTAAGATTAAGCAGTCTGTATCTGATATGATAGTAAAGAGTGCTGGGTCTATGTAGCCAAGAGCACTTTGGGGACTGTGGGCAGCGTGAATTCATACTCTCTTCTCTCCTTTCCTTCCTACCCCCTTGCTCTTTTCATTCCACTCCCCCTCTCTTGATTTCTCTCCTTTCTCTCCCATTTATTTTCATTCATATTCTCTCTCTCTCTTTCTCTCTCCCTTACTATGTGCACTGACCTTCCGGCTTTAAAATAATGGAAGGAATAGCCCCAACTTGTATATATGAATTGAGACAAATCCTGGTAGGAAAATTCATCTCTCCAGGTCTATGTGCTGCAGTCGGGTTGGGAAATAATGCCAGGTGGTGAGACACTATAGGGGATGGCTTCAGTAATTCCTTCTAGAGGGGAAGGAAACAAAAAAAAAAAAAAAAAAAAAAGAGGATAACCCTTCTTCCTTCTTACTGTATTTTGTAATCCAATTTTTGGAAATTACCCTAACAGGACACTAGATGTTCAATTTCCTAGGAAGTCAGAGTAAATTCTGTTTTATCCATCTATCTTTCTATGTATCTGTCTGCCTACCTCTCTACCTGATTTTCTGGCAGTTAAACAAGTGAATATGATGTCAAAGGGAACTATGTAGTTATTGTTATTGAAGCTTTTTAGACACAAGAACTTAAGGAAGGTCAAACATCACTTGATAGCTCATAATGGCTGAGCTTTTTCTGTTAGTAATATTTATAAAGGGGAGTTAAAGGGTATAAGTAGCCTACATTTGACTTAGAACAAAAAGTAAATATGTGTATGTGACCATTTATGCTTCTGAAACGGGTAAATGTGTCTTTGGTTTAATGTAAAATCCTCATACAATGAAAGTTATTCTCTTAGATCTTTCAAGACTGACAGTCTACGAGATGGCATCCTGTTTCATTGGAATTGAAACTGATATGGGCATTGATTTTCTCCTTTGCCCTGAAAACTATACCAGAAATGGGGGAGCCGGAGGGAGTGTTTTCCTAAACCCAAGATTCACTGAGGCCAGTAGAAAAGTTAATACTGAGAGAGAGGGGGTTAATTTTAAGATTCAGGATTGGCTTTCTTTGAAAATCCCCTTCCATTTTATGTACATAGTGACTTCAGTACCAGTTACACTTTTGACAAGATAGAAGATTTATTAAAGATCCGTTCTTTGTGTGGTGTCAGGAAGGTAGACTCTAATAGCATTGTCGTTGAACCAAAAGATAAAAAATGACTGCCGTTACTTTTAACATTTATTTTAACTGGCATGGAGGGAGGAAAACTTGGGGGTCATAAACTCTAGAAGGACTTCAATTCCGTCTCTCAAAATACTAGTTCTGAATCTTCCCATTGGAAAGAACAGTAGAGTTATGTCCCCCTCAGCTCTAGTCTTGAAGAGAGAAGTATCCCTTTGTCTTGGGTGGGGTGGGATGGGGTTTGTCTTCTGGGTACTTGGTCATGCCACTAGTCCTTTTTGACGTCCTAATATGGATCGATTTTCTAGGACAACTCTTCACATGTCACTAAAGTCTGCTGCTTAGATCTCTCGTAATGTGGCTTCATTGTCTCCCTAGCAGATTATTAAAGCTAAACATACTTCTAAAAAAAAACAAATGAGCAGCCTCGATTTTATCCTTAGATATGTCCAAATAGCACCTGAGGCTCCATACGTCTGTGCAGAGACATCTACAGATAAAAACTGAGTTGTTAGAATTGGCACAACACATGGACAGTCCATTATTCCTTGTTCTACTGGGTCAATTGGTAGAATCTGAACTTGGGTTCAGAGGAGATGATTTTGCAAAAGCCCCCTTTCCCCAATGTAAATTCCATCATCATCGTCTTGATCATGATGGGGTGTACCCCTGGGAAAGGGAGTTTAAAAAAAGAGAGAGGGAGAGAGAGAGAGAGTCTCAGAATTTTGAGTAGTTTCTTTGCTATTTTCACCATCTGGAGAGCCTTGATTGATTAGCTTTGGCCTCACCATTAAGTGTCAATATAATCAATGGGAATTACTAGACTAGGGTCATTACATAGATAATTTGCCTGCTGTGTAAATAAAAATGAAATTGTTTAAATTTTGCGAGAGAAAGAAAGTGAAAATAAGGGCTGACAATTTGTTTGTTAGAGAAAGTGGAGGCCATTGGAATGACAGTTTTTGGAAGTGTGGAGCAGTTTGGCTAAGAATAGGAATGAAGGATATTTTTTTTCCAGTTTATCATAGCCAGAGAGAGGAAGTGTTATTCCCTCTCTTGCTTGCATACATTGCCAGTAGTGCCTACTTTACGTATGTAAACATCGGGGAAGAGAAGTGGATGTCTGTTACCTGGAGATTTTTTTTTTTTTTTAAGGAAAAACATAATTTACACTTTTTTTGTTGTTTCTCTTGGCAGGTAAAACAGAAAGGGGCTCATACTCATCTTATGGGAGAGAATCAACCTTACAGGGTTGCCATCAGGTAAGTGAGAATCTTGCTTGGGGAAGGGTTGAGAGAATGAACCTGGTAAATCAGTTTGTTTTGTAAATTAGGTGATGCATTTTCGAGCGTGGCACTAAGATGCACGGAAAGTCTGCCGACGCCTCTGTCTTTTAAAAAGTAATGAAATAGCACAGAGCTTGGAAGTAATAAACCTCTTGTTCTCTAGATCCCTGCCGTATCACAACTGCCTTCCCTGGCTTGTTTTTCTTTTTTAATCCATCAGCCCGTACCAGTGGCACTGTTTGCAAACTAGCAATGTCGTTTAAAGTGATTCTATCAAAAGAGTTTATTTGCAATTAAGAACTTAAGAATTTCTTACACTAGAAATACTTCGTGCAGCCATGTGTCAGACCCTGGGTTCGGGTGGTTATTGCCCTAAATTATAGTTTTCATAGGGACTGGATGATGTTGTGTGAAAACAGGGTTGTATTGAGGGATAAAAATGTCTGTGAAAATATGATTTGTTGTCCCTTTTTGTTTCTGAATTGTTTTTGGCTGGAAGTCAAGGCCAGCAGGCTAACAGCAAAGCCGTCTCAAGGGAAGCGTGCGTGAGCTAGAAAAATAAGAGTACTTTAATTAAATAATAAAATGCCAGTGTAATACAAAGGTATAGCATGTGTGTGTTTGTGTCTCTGTGCACTCTGCATTTGCATACTTTGCCCTCTCCAGAGAAAGCCCAGTTCTAAAAATACTACCCCTAGCCAAAAGTATAAGCTTTGTTTTAGGACAACTGAGTTTTGATAGATGCTTTCTTTTTAACTTCAGTACCGGTATTAATCGTACGTTTAAAATCCTTTATTTTGCTTAGGATTTAGACTTTCTCTTTTTGTAAGTGCATTGGTTTCTTACTTGGGAGAACTCTTGCTAGAATTTAGTAATCCTGTCTCATATTCGAAGCTTTCTACTGTTTCATTCCTCACCCAAGCCGAATGTACATTCTTCTTATGCTAGAAAGGGAAGGCTTGCTCTCGAACCCGCTCACCCTCCCATCTTCTTTAATGGTCTGGGGGGGTGCGTGGGGGGGATCGGTTTTGAATTTTTGAAACAACCTGTTTAATATATCCTGGAAAATGTGAGCAGGCAGTTGTAGCAATTAAACAGAGGCTGCGAAGGATGTTACCTTTATGTATCAGTCAGATGTCACTAGAGGTGGAATTCTGGTGGAGGTGTATTTTATTTTATCCCCCCCTGGATATATTTGCATTTTTAAAATTGCCTCCTCTGACCCAGCCACCCCTTCCGTCCTATTCAGCATCTGAAAGCTTGGTTGCAATGAGGGGAAGCGGTGCTTGGGTTAGAGCTCCTGCCACACGGGCTGCACAGTACAGTTTCTAGCAGTTTGTTTGGAAAGAATTCCGCAGGAAAGAAATTCACAGCCATTCCAGCACAACGGAAACATCTTTGGAATGTGAGTGCAAATGTTCGGGGCAGATAGCTCGGGCGACAAGCCTCTCAGTGCCGAGTCTCTAGTGTAAAGCTCCCAATTCCTGCAGAAGGGCCGGTTCCTGTGTATCTGGTTTCTGAGGGTCAAGGCAGAGGTCATTAGAGTTTTGGGGAGAAGAAAGTCGACAACATCCTTCCTTTTTGCAGATGGTCATGGCAGAGGTCTCTGTTTTTGCTGGGCCTCTTTTTCTGGTCAACGAGAGAATAGGCTTCCTCGCCCCTGTATCCTTTCTTACTAATAGGAATTGGCGTGATTCCTCACAGACACAAAGATTTCCTCTGCTGAGTAAGCGCGAGGCCCCTTAACTTGTTAAAGCATCATCCAGACCGCGTGAGTCTGTCTGTGTATGTGCGGGGACGCAGACCCTCCCTCGGTTTGTGGGAAATACTTCCCTCGGGTGAAACTGAAGTTATTTTTTTGGCAAACACAAGGTGAGAAGTGGAAGGGGCAGAGGGTGGAGGAGAGGTGGACGGACTGGTGTGTGATGGCTGAATTTCTGGGCCTCGGGAGGCTCCTTCTGAGACATTCGTGTCCAGGAAAATTCTGCTTTCTATCGGAGTATGACTGCATATGCTTTTCTTAAAAAGTCTTCATAATGTAGCTGTGGAGTGTGGAGAATTTCTCTCTTTCTTATTTCTGCTTCACGGTCGTGAGTGTTGCAAGAACTATCTCTGTGCTTAGCATGGTCTCAGCGGTATCCATAAACGGTGTGATCCCTTAAGGATAAATAAAAGAGCAAAATTTTGGAAATTCCCTGACTGAGAAAATAGGGGCTGGAGAGGAAAAGTGCCCATATTATGAATTTCTGCTTTCCGTGAAATTTGAGAATAGAGCAGACCATAGTGTGTCTTCCAGTGCATATCTGTCTTGTGCCGAATTGCTTTTTGAATATCCCTGTCTCCAACACCAGCTATGCAAACCAAAAAGAAAGGCAAAGTCTCGGGTATCTTGGGCTTCAAGTCTAAGTAGCAGATCACAGCTGAAATGATTCCCCACTGGGTGGCAAGGTGAGTGGCTCTTCTGGAGAGGAAGCTTTTGTTTCTCCTGTTTACTACATTCTAGAGATGCTGCGTGGAAATCCTTTACATGATATGCCCCGAGGAGCTCCAAAAGCAGCTTTATCGTATTATAACAATGTATCCTGTGGACTTAGAGGGATGAGCCCTGTGACATGTGAAGATGCTTATTCAGATCCCAGTAGCCTTTTGTTTGGTGTAGAGAAATAGTGGTGGTAAGCAACAGGTAGCAAAACGCTGTCCTGGAGAAATCAATTATTATTCTGAAATGTATGTTATTTTAAAAATGCGTCAGGTTAAAAGATATATGTATTTTACATATATGTATATATCTCCATGATGTTTCTCTTGAGGATTTAACAATAATAGTAACAGACACGTGGCTTTTTAAAAAGCAGATATTTTAGCCAAAATACAAAAGCTGGCAGGTTCTTTATTCAATTGTTTTCATTATAAATAGCAAAGGGATAATATGAATTCATTAATGCATTTCCATGTAAAATTATCAGAAATAAACATGGTAACTTTTTCAGACTTTTGAAACTGTATAGGAAATGAACCAATAGACAAAGCAAAGCAGCCAAATGGACTTTTTTTTTTTTTTATTAGTTCTCACTAAATATGACAAAACTAATTTAAATCAAATTGGGGTATGGAAATCACACCCAGGCTTAAAATGTTCTTGCCAAATTGCAACCTCATACTACTTTTACTGGCAGAGAAAATAAAATTTATAATGGAAAGTCTGACAGAAATGAAAATGAGCGGAAATAAAGTTTTTCACAAGATCGTCCAACCTTAATATGATAACCAATAGCTAATACCTAATGGGCATCACTGCAGATGGCAAAAGAAAAAAAATGTCATTTGCTTTTGACCTCCTTTGCTGCTTTGAAGAGGACGTTTGGCGATTGCAAACTTTTTTATCTTGCCGAGATCTTCTGTTTTTTGAATGAGATGATGATGTCAACACAACTGATTGTTATTAAGGCAGAAGTTTTCCCCTTAAATGGAAGTTCAGGATTAATTATCAGGAATTGTTTGTCTTTTCTTTTTTTTGGGATATAGCCCAGGTCTAAAGTAGTGGTTTCATTATTAGTATCTCCTGGGCAAGGTGTGTGTGGGGTGTGTGTGTATGAGAGGGGAACTCTATATAGAAACCTGGGCCTTATCTGAGACCAATTAAATTAGGATCTTATGAGTTGGGCCTTAGCTTTTCTGACAATTCCCCAGGTGATTGTACTGTGCAGCTAGGTTTGATCATTTCCTAGAATGGTCTATAGGAATATACTCTATTTTAAAGATGTGTCCAAAAGCTTGTATTGCCACTGACCTTGAAAAAGCTTTTAGACTTCTTGCCTTAATTTGGTTATTCAGGACATGGAAATATAATGCATATGTACTTCATTGAAGAGGTAGTGAAAATTCGTGATTTACTGAAAATCAGGAAGATGCCTTGAAATCTTTACACAAAATTCTGCAACTGAATGTCCCAGCCCATCTCTTGTTTTTTTCTAGTGAAGTCCAAGGTTTTAACCTCATCCACATTCTTTCTGTTTCTCAGCAAGTAATCAAATAGGACTATGCTGATAAAATTATTTGATGCTGAGATCTCAAAACTGACAGGATTTAAGAATTAGGCTTACTCTCAGATACTTTCGTTAAATTCCAGAAACTTTGAAACTGTATAGAAAATGCGTCTTCTCTATATGAAATTGATTTGCTCATAAGCCTCGTTGTTTTGAGTTCATTGAAATAAAACATTATAGTTGGTGCTGAAATGAATGGCACACTGAAGAATTCATTTTTTCTTAATTATTTTTATTTTTGAAACAAAAAGAATTACAAATGACTTCATTCTAAAACTTAGGGCTCCTTTAACTTTACCTTATGTGAAGTCAAAATGGGAAGGATATAAGCAGAGAAGGCATGAAATCCTTTGTCCCTTCTTAAGAAAATGGCTACTTAGGTCTTGTAGAAACAGAAATACATCTTGTCTTTTTTTTTTTTTTTTTAAATTTAGCATTATACTTTGTTTATGGTGGACAGTGGGTCAGTCTGGCCCACTGCATTCTTCTCAGGACCTTCTCCCATCCACGTACTACGTCTGCGTCCTGCCTTAGCACTTTGAGTGCCTTCATTGTGCCTCTTGAGTTTGCCATTACTTGCGTTCGTTGAATGTTGGTTTCCACCAAGATTCTGTAGACTCCTATGAGGCAGGGACCTCGTCGGCTTTATCTTGCTCTGCGTACTCCGTGCCTAGCAGGGTGAAGATTGTGATACCCTAATGCCTATTTCCCCCGCATCACGTTTAGGGATCATTTTGAGAGAGGGAAGTCGGGAAGTGGCGATGTATGGGAACCATAGGTTTAGCAGTTTTCATACCTACAAAAACGAGAAAATCACGTTCTCTCAAAGAAAGTCCTTTGGAAGTCCGCCCTTCTACTGTGCTGTGCGGGCCCTGGAAGGACACAGAGGTCCTACGGTGGAGAGTCACTCCTCCCTCACCCGGCGCTGAC